ACACCTGCCTGCAATACATGAAGAATACATTTGAAGTCACAGCTGTGGGTGAGTTTTTCATACAGCTACCATCTGACGTCGTCCTGTCCCTGTTCCGGGCAGTAGACCTTCAGGTAGACAGTGAAGAGACTGTCCTCAAGGCGATTGGAAGGTGGGTCGGTCCACTGAGCAAAGTGGATGAAACACGAGTGGTGTACGCGGCAAATATGATGAAGGAAATGCGGTGGTATCAAGTTGATGCCGACTTCCGATATCGGCTCGATGATGAGGATGGCTTTTGGAATACAAATATGGAATGCTTGTAAGCTCACCAACAACTTATGTAATTTTAACCATTAATAACGACTTCTAAGTCGAATTAACAAGTGGATTGACTCTCCATGCTCGAGGAGCGATAGACAATGTCCATTTAATGAGAGGCGCAGGGAGCAATTGCCTGACTCAGCGGATAGGGACTGCCTATTGATTGCGCACCGCTCGAATCCCCTGGAGGAAGTCTGTCTGCAGGGTAATTCAGCGAACTAAGATCAATGTTTGCTGACCCGGTACGATGCTGGCACACAGACGCCACAGAGGAGCGATGAACAATTGGGTGGCTCAGCGCAGTCGTCCAATTTGACTGGCTGCTCAGAGTGTTGTGGGAAGGAAAGCGGACGTTCCAGTCTGTCGGGGTGAGCATAGTTGTGGTGACTCACTCCACATAGGCGAGCATGCCCGAAGGCTCGCTGCCGCTAACGAGTACTTTTGCACTTAAAGGCACCCTGTGCAACAGCCAATCAGGTCCCACAAAGGCTAGCCTCTCTCGGTGGCGAATAGGACGCATGCACGCCTTGGTCGATGCAGTCTTTCCGGATAATAACCTTTGAGGCAACCAGACAATGCCCGTTCTCCCTGCCTGCTGCTGAAAACCGCACTTGGACCGCGGCTGGCTCTCCTGCTGCTCGTGAACTACCCAAGTCAAATCTCTGTCCATCTATTCTCCTTTCCATTGTGTACACAATGCATTATTCCTACTACTCTGGCCTTTCACAACTTCTCTTCAGCATTAAGTAACCATGGTCTGAAGATCGCAGTTGCTGGGTTTAACTTACTTAACCC